CATTGGATGGCACAGTGTGTGTCTGGGAGAGCTTAGTGTGTTTGAGTTTGCATGGTCTGGCATTGAGCATGTCTGTCTATACTGTGAATAATAATCTGAGGTGCAGTTCTGTGGCTGTATATTTGTTGCATGTCCTATCACCACTAAAGCAAAAAGCATGCCCCATTTATGATGAGAAGTGCAGTCCTGTTTTCAGTTACAATTCAATATATATTTCTTGGTATGTACTTTTTCAGTCAAACAGTTTTTAAAGGAAGTTTTAAGCTCGGTCCATTGCGTAGTGAAGATACACCTGTGCTAATACTTGTTGATCAGTAAAATAGATAATTTCAACTGCAAGCAAACTAGACATGATAAAAAAGAATGCAGCCAGTCATGTGTCCATTGCTACAATATAGTGCTGGGCTTAAGTTTCTGGCCATCCTTCATAGAAGTTCTTGCTCCCTTATTTTTGAACCTTAACTATAACTGTTCAGGATTTCTTTGAAAAGTACTGATCAGGAAAAGCATTGTATAATCTTCTGTTCAAATTCTTGAATATACTTACCACAGAAAATTCTTCCACTAATGTTTTTCTCTAAATATGTAGTGCGTTTTTTTCTATGTGCTTTCCTGTAATATATTTTTGCTCCAGTTGCTAGAGATTACTTAGTTTAGCAAAACCCTTCTGAGTGTTTTTGCTAAATTTAATAAGTTACTATTTGCTATAAATCACTCAGTATGCCTCCACTTTCGGATCTTAACTTTAAGATCAGCATCTTACATGAAAGTTAATTTCATATTTTTCTCTCTTTCAGCAGGCTACATTGAGCGACCTCAGCTGATTCGAGCAAAAGTGCCAATAGTGAAGTTCAGGGATAAAGTCAGGTAAGTATTCTGTTCAACATAATTTTTTTAACTCTCCTGTGGGAAAGTACTCTATGGGTACTGTCTGTGTGAGTAGCCCCACAAAGTAATGCTTTGTTTGTTTGTGTTGTACTATAGTTGTATTGCCAATTTGTATAGCTAGCTTGCAGTGGCAGTTAGCTTACTTCCTTGATGGCCTGAAACACTTGTTGTGACGCTGTTTAGTTCTGTGATGTTCATTATGTATTTCTATGGGTTATTTGTATGTAGAGGACTGCAGTTGACAAATGGTTCATGACAGAAAAATAGTGGTACAAAGAAAAATGTTGTGAACGATCATTTTGCTTGCTGTGCAAACATAACTATTAAGCTACTTAAGGAATAATTCACAGTGTTTACACCATACAAACAGCACTAAAACACAATAGCTTCTTCTGGTTTTGATTTTTTAAAAAATATTCTGCTGTCTTCTGGGGCAGTATGCTGTGTTTAACAAAGTAGAATTATGTGTTCTATTCACAGTGTTAGGGACTAAACTACTTTTTTTTTTAGGAGGAGGAAATAATTGGAGAAATAATTGTGTTTTATGTTATAGTATTATTTTATCTTCATTATGAAGACATGAAAATGAATAATCAAGAGGGATATATTAGGACAAAGAACAATGTATTATCATGTGTGATAAAAGTAGAGGAAAAAACTGTACAATGCACTCAGATTGAGTAGGTGTCTGAATAACATTCAAATATTCCTATATTTTTGGGCTTAGATTTTGTAAGATTTATGTTTATCACCTTCATGTAATAACATAGCCTAACTACTCTTTATAAGTAGGACATTGAATAGCTCTGAAGTATCTATCTTATTCTGCCTGTACACTTTTGAAATTTTGCAACCCTGTCTTTTAAAAACAAACAAGCCCACTTCTCTGGCCTCTCTTAGTAATATACCTTTATATACCACACTATATCAGGCCAGAAACCCTGCTGTAAAAAACCTCAATGTCTCGTGTTTACAATTTGTACTAATATAATCCATTTAAGCTTTTCATGCATCTGAGATGATGTAACACTTTTTAGGGGTTTTTTTGTTGTGATTTTTTTTTATTTTTTTATTTTCACCTAATGCCATATTTACTTCTGTATGCTTGACTACCTTTTAAAAATTTCAGTAATTTCTCTCTAATAACCTTCTCCTTTAGCAGTGCAGAAGATTGTTTCTCCCATACTTTCTGAAGGGATTACACTTGTCAAGCTAAAATGTGGGTTAAATTGCTTAGCTACATATTATAATGTTAGTCTTTTCATAGATACACTAAACAGTAAATTCCTGCTACAAATAATGAATAAATCATGGAGTTATAGCAAGATTTTTTTTTTCCAATTTAAAATGAGAAAATGCACATTAAAAAGAAACCTGAAGTATGAAAGTGATTAAGTTGGAAGATTTTTGTAAGCATTTATAGTCCATGCTAGGGTAACTTGCAAAAAAGTGTAACAGTCGTGGTATTCATATACCTTTTAGACAAGATTTAAATAATTCCTTATTTCCTACTGAATCAAGTATAATCATCTTAGAATAGAAGCTGTCCATTACATTTCTGAGAGAAAAAACTAGTACTGTTCACCATCTGGTTTCCTGTGGCTTTTTTAGAAGAAAGGCTTGGCGGGTAGTGACATGACTTTGGATTGGCTTCTTTGTTTGCTTTTTTCTTTCTTTCCAGTTAATTTTCTCTTACATAACCTGTATCCTCCACCCATGTTTTGTTTTTTTATTTAAGCATCTGTTTCTTTCCAATCTCTTATCCACCTGTTTTTCCTAAGCTCATGCCATATATAACATGCACACCCTGTATTTTTTCACAGAGGCCTTGAAAAATTAATTGGATATTCTGTATCCAGGTCATTAAGCTTATTTTACCCAAAACCAGAAACTAAACATTACAAGCTTCTTGTGAAAGTGAGTTTTCTTCATGCTCAGCTACTGAGAGAAAATGGTAGAATTCAGTGGGTGGTATCTGTGCATCTGGACTCTCAGTGTTGCCAGTAGTCCATGTATACCTGAAAATTGGCATGTATACATGAAAATTGGCAAGGAAGTTTTCAGTGTGTGTTTGCCCTCCTTTCTAATCTTAAAGTTTTTTTTAGTGCTATGACAGTAAGGGAAGATCCATTGCACTTTAAGACATACTGTCTATTTTTTTTGGAGTCTTTCCCAGGAAATAATTCCAATACTGGCTCTGCTACCAGACAAGCCTTAAATTAATTAACAAGATTTCTGTACTACAGAGGATGCAAAAGCTTCCTTTGCTACTACATTTGATATACAGTTGACTCTTCGCCTCTCTTTTAGAGCTTTTGGTAGAACTTGAGTCCCAACAGTACAAAACTTTTTTCACTTGCCATAACTGGAACATCTGTTAAATGTGCATATTAAAGTACAAAGTAACTGCTATATAATTTGCTTAATCAGCATCTCATAAATAGTAATCTTGTTAGTTGAGGTTACTTTGAATTACACATGCAGCCTGACACATTTCTTTATTATATTAGCACATACAATTAATATTCTTACTAGTGTTTATGTTTCTTTTTACAACTGTCAAGTAGCAACTCAAGCATGTTTACTTCCTGTAGTATTATGTAATATGCTCTTAAAATACATAGAAATCATACTTCATTCAGATTTGATGTTATGTAATCTTTTTGGTGCAAAGAGTGTTTTAATTTAGATAATGATGTCCAAAACCCCTTTGTAGGTATTGAATTAATGCTTTTTATCCAGTTTAATAAATTCCAGGTCCATGTTCACATTCCAATAATTCTAGAAAATCCAAAGGAATATTCAGGCAAACAAATGCTATGTGAATGAGACTCAAATACGGAAAATGGAAATAGCTGTACATTGCAGAATGCTACTTCTTAGTCCATAATTGGCAGCTCGTGTTGCTATACCTTATTAATCATTAATTTAATATTGTTTCTTGAATACTGTCAGTAGTTAAGCTCTATATGCAGTATGAAGTTCAAATTTTGGGCTCAAATGTGATGTAAATAAAGCAGGTAGTGCTTGTTTGCCTTGTTCCTACTTGCTGTTAACAGCATGAAACAGTTGTTAAAACTATTTTATTACAAACATGCAATGTTTAATAGTAAACAGTTTTGTTTCAAAGTATTTGCTGATTATATCTGACCATCATTCCAGAAAAGGTACTCTTCCCTTTTGACCTCTTCAGACTCTTCTCAGTTCATTGGCATGGTTTCCTAAAAGGATACATCAGGAAATTGTTCCTGGCATTGAAAGTTGTCCACAATAAATCATGTAGTTCAAGTCTAGTTGGGAGACAGATTTGTTAAAAATCCAAACGATATTTGATATATTAAGTTGTCCCAAGGTCTAAATTGGGATCTACATGTATGCTCTATATAGAACAACAATTACATTTTTATAACAGTGGAATTCAAATCTGCTCAGGTACTATAAACAAAGCTAGAGTAGAAATTGCAGCATCAAAAATCTGTTTGAAGAAAATTCTAGTGTATTATCTTAAAGTTACATTTCTCTACCTCTGTCATTAAGTAGATAATAAATTCTGAAATTGAATACCATGATGCTTGATTCTTTTTCTTTTCTCCCCAATAGCCGTGTGGAGTTTGACTTGAATGTAAACAATGTTGTAGGAATAAGAAACACATTTCTTTTGAGATCTTATGCATACGGTGAGTTTTTAATTTATTTTCTTATTTTTATAAACTGTTTTTTAAATGTATGTTTTAGTATTAATAGACTATTAAAATTTAGTTGAATATATTAGCTTACTATATATAAAATAAGGTAATGAGCTGCATAAGATAGCTTTAAGATAACTTCTCATTGCTCATCCTAAATATATGGAGAAAACTGATACCTCAGCTAGGTGTGTTTTTAATTGAGTATTATAATATTGAGAAGTTAACAGATAACTTCTTCATATTAAGGTTCACGTATCTGCTACAAGGGCTGCTTCAGTATTCTGCAGATAATGAGATCATTATACTAATGATTATCTAGTGGTAGAATCTCCAGTTTCTTTTATTTCCTTACAGCCACTGATAGATATGTGTGGCTAATGGCCAGCTGTGTCAGTATACTGTTACAGAGTCTTTCCTCAGAAAATCCAAAATACTGCTTCAGTTTTTATACTAACCCCAGAACAAAACTGGTTTGTGTCATCTCTGGAGTTCGCGTTTTAGGGAGAGGCTATGAAACAAACTTATGAAGGGGAAGTAATAAGAATAGTACTCTTAGTGCTAAACTACAGTTTTCTAAGCATCATGATGTCCTGTGACAGATAAATACATAAGGAGTAGACCTCAGGCTAATTCTTCTTGACCATTTTCAGTTCTTCCTTTACCACCTGCTTCAGCTCTTGCCTACAAGAATTCCTTTTTATTATCAGTAAAAGTTACCTTTACTAGTTAATTTTTACTAATATTTCAGTCGCAATAGTTTCAGTCTTCCATATTCACATTACTGCAAGAGCCTACAACTTGTGCTGGATAGGTTTGTTAACTGTAAATTCTTAATCCATCCAGGAAAGCGTATGCCTGGAGAAGGACTTCCTTCAAGCTTAAAAAGGTTAGGGAAATAATCTTTGTAATTCATGGCTACCGGTGAGGGATCAGTTCACCAAGTCTAATGTTGATACAGTTATTCCTACCTTCTGCCACAGATTTCCCTTACTCTTCTCAGCAAATCACTGTGGAGCAGACAAGAGTCCAGATGTGAAAAGAGCAGTGGAAGGGGTCCTAGCATCACACTTTTTCTTCCATTCTGCCTCAGTGCCTACTTTTACAAGGCCAGCAAAATAAATTTTACATCTCCTGTTGAAGGATAAACACTTTTGTTTTCTTGAGGTCAAGACTGAGTTAGTAGCTAAGGGAGACTTCTGATTGGAAAGATTATCTCCTCAATGTGATAGACTTTCTTAAATAGCAATCATAGCAAGCACATTCTGTCTTGTCTTCTTTGGTCTAGAAAACTTTCAAGTGACATAAGGCAAACAAAAGAAAATGGAAATTTTTTACATTCTCTTTACATGCTTTCAGAAGTCATATCAACCAGAGTGGATAGCAATAAAACTATTAGCCTGCTCATATAAATTAGTGGCTGAAGGGCTTCACCCCGCCTGTGAGAAAAAAATATAAAATTACCTCTCATGTGGAAGACAAGTGGGTCAGTTTGTTCCATTAGAAGAAATTGGGTGCTCATGAAAACAACAAACTGGTTATCTTAGTGAGCATGAACAACATTTTTTCCTATGCATGCTCTTGTGTCTTTTTTAAAATCATCCCTTCTATGTTGCTGCATAAGTGCATTGAAAAAAATCAAAGATGATATGGCAAAGTGAAGTAGAATGTCCACAGAACATGTAGGCAGATAAAGCAGATCTTGAAACTAAAGGCCATCCTGTTGTGGTATCAGTTTCTGGCTTAACAAAGCATATCTGTGATTAAATCTGCAATTCATGGTAGGTATTTTTCAATGAGTGGAAGCTGGATGTTTTAGCAAATGACATTACTGTGCATTTTCTTGAGGGGGTAGCTGTGTCAGGAAAGAAAAGATACTCCAGAACACACAAGGCATTGGAAGGCCATCACTAAGTATGCTGCAAGGTCCCCAGGAGGTGGTGGTGAGAGTGACATCTCCCTATGTCACATTACTGCTGTAACTAGAAGGCTATCTTTGTTCTCCAGATATTCAGAAGATCATACCTGGAATGCACCTATATTTATGTCTTTCCTCATGAAAAGCATTTGTCTTGATTTCGGGAGTTACTGAATCTAATATTTCATCTACATAAAAAGCTACTGAGGACAAGGCAAATTTAAAATTGATGTTTGTGTGAAGGGGTTGCTGCCTTCATGGATCTTGGGGAAAATTTAAGAATGAGCTCTGTCCCCTCCAGCCAGGAGAATTATTTTCCCTTCCTTTGAAGTTATATAAATCTAAATAAAAAATTAAAAAATTAGATACAGTCTGTCATGGCAGCAAGTTACTTCAGGGAAAATGAGTACAGTGAACTGGAGAGAACTTAAAAGTATAACATGACATTGACTGATGTGCCCAGTTTTGTCTTATCTGCAGTTTACCTGGCATACCCATTGTAATGTGTCTGTGAATATTACTACTCAAAAGACTATTTTCAAATGTAATTTTGTTTTCTGATTTTTATAGGATGGATTGTAGTTGTAGAAGAGCTAAGTGAATTTTATAAAATGTTTGCAAAAGGTATCCTTAGAATACAGGAATATCATGTTGATGGAGTAGGAAAAAATGTTGATTGATGCATAGTTAAATGTGCTTTTTTTTGAGATGTTTTTGTTTTACTTGCAGTTGAGAATCGAGTACGTCCATTAGTACTTGTTGTTAAGAAGTGGGCAAATTTTCATGAAATAAATGATGCCAGTCGTGGTACTTTAAGCAGCTATAGTCTTGTATTGATGGTTTTGCACTATTTACAAAGTAAGTATTTTTTTAATATGTTGAAACTGTCCTTTTTAAGTTTGTATTTGTATAGTTTTCCTATAATAACATTAAACACCAGCAGGACTCATCTTCCACAGACAAAAATCTGAAAATAAAGTGGGTTTACTGTATTTCCCTAGTGCTGCATTTTTCTTCAATAAGTGAACCTCTTCTCTGGAGGCAGAATTACCAGCTTTAATAAGATTTTTTTGAAGTTTAAACAATTCAGTATACCTGCAGAACACTAAATAACTATGAAGTAAACTCAAGCACTGGTTAAGAAAAATTCAGCGTTTTAGCAAATGAAAAAATGTAAACAAAATAAATTCAGTGGGGTTTGGTTTGGTTTTTTGTTTGGTTTTGTGGGTTTTTTTAATTGATTTACTTATTTGGGAGCTTCCAAGAAAATTCAAAGGGACAACACATGCCATGGTGTCATTTTTCTGTCTCCTGGTGCCTGGAGGGCTGGACATGGGGAACATGTATATTCAAGAAGGCACTACCATCTAGTTACATTTTTTCCACTGATTACTGTCTCCTGTAAGGTGACATGTTGAAGACCATTAAAAGTTGGGATATTTCAGGGCCTGTGGCAGTCTCTTTCTTTGTGACTTCAATATGTTGAATATCTGTATGGAGCTGGAGAGCTTCACCTGAGAAACTAAGGATCATTGTTAAGAATTCAAGAAACCCATGCTGCCTAGGAATGTTTTTGAGGAACAGACTGAAATGAGCTTATCCCCTTATTCTTTCTTTCGTTAGAGTAAGCCCATGTTTGTGATTTTTTTGCAATTTGCAATTCTTGCTAAAGACTTCAGGATTATAATTTAAGAAATCATATAGCTCAGTATGAGTTTCTTGGTTCTTTGTTGAGAGAAAAGTGGCTACACAAAGGAAGGCAAGGAACCCCTGATGTGTACATCATGTGAACTAACATGCTGGTAGAAGTATTTTCTGAATTCCTGTCAGTTCGTGTGTGGACAGTGTATTTTGCTGCTTGTATTCATTCTACTCATTTGCTTTAATTTTTTGGTAACATGCTGATTATTATTGTTCATGTTTTTATGACAACTGGTTCCTAATGTTTTATAATCTGTGGACAAATAGACTCTTATTTTAGATCTTGCCCCTTTGTCAGTTTGTGTAGGTTTTAAATTTTTCTAACATCAGGTAGAAACAATGTTTAGCTCCTCTTGACAGCTTGCTTGGCCTGGAATGTAGATAGTTGTCATAGAGTGGGTAGCTGACTATTGGTTTTAAGGTCATGCTACACCCACTCTGTACTAGGGTGTAAAGCTTTTTATGATAGTTGACTCAAGCTGGTGGCTTTCTTTAAGCTGAACAGTATCTGTAGTAGAGGTCCTAGGAGGGACTCCACTGTGGTGGAGTGCCACAGATTCTTTTTTTCTGTTTTCACAGCTTTGAAACATACTGTAGGTGACTGAGTACTTCAACGTAGAACCTTAATACACATCTGGGGAAAAAAATAAATAAATCAATAAATCAAAAAATGTTCATTGGAAGAGATGAAGTTATAATGAACTTAAAAGTGTCAAATTAGTATTAGATACAAAATTGAAAATGCGGGGAACTACTGGGTTTGAAGATCACTATACAAAGGTGAAACACAATAAGGAGAGGAGAAAAATGAGCTTTACATACGATTAGTGGTAATCTTAGCAATGACTAGATAAACATTTGATGCAGTTTACATTTTTAATGGAAACAGGCCTTTTCACTTATATTCTTTAAATCTATTTCTGTTTTCACTGTATCTGTTACTTTGGAAAGTTGTATTGGGTCCGGTGTTGCAGTCGTGAATGGCCAATTACTGAGCTGTGCAAAAAATAAACACACAAAAGGGAAAAGAGTTACAAAGAAGTAACAACCCTGCAAGCATGAGGACTTCTGCTGTAGTTGTCTTTGGTAGCTGCCACAGCTGCCTGAGAAGGATCAGCAGTCCACAGATCAAAGAGGAGCCTGCTACCTGTGCTTTATCAGCCTTTATGCTAAAAAAGGCATTAGAAGCATGGCTCTGGACATGTATCTAGTATCAGCTGTTTAGATTCTGAGGTTTTATTCATGCAGTTTTTAACTTTTTTTTTTTTTTTTCTGCTTTATTTCTGTTGCTTGTGTCCTAGTCATAGAATTTCTAATAGAGCTTTTGTGGATGCTATTGGGGAGGGAAAAGTGGAAAAGCTTGCTTTCGCAGTAAATAGCGTCCTTGTCTTCAGTAGGTAAATTTCTTTCCTTTACTACTCAATCTATTCCCATGTTCTTATTATTTGTGTGGATTTCTTTGGACCTAAGGTTAGTGTGGCTTGAGTTTATTTCATAGGTACATCAGTGTCTGTGTTTATCAGTGCACATGAACTTTCCTCCAGGTAACAGGTCCTACTGCCTTGTACAGCAAGAAAAGGAAAACTCATGTGGCAAACACTAGTGATAAGTGGTAATTTTTCCCCTTAACTCCATCCTTCTAGTACAGCATACAGACTCAGATAAAATACCCTGATTGCATGTATTGCTCAGATTTTGTTGCTTTTTATTTTCGTGTGATGGAGAACTGGAAATTATCCAAGATGTTGAAGAAATAAGATGCTCTTGCATATTTCTAAACACCCACAAGCAAAAATATTATTAAAGCAACTGTGATCCTATTCTTAGTAGTCCTGCTAGTTAATATAGTATACTCTTTGAAGACATCCCAAGCATGTTCTGAGAATTCTGCTGTTCTGATTCTTAGTCCCTATGGAAAAGAATTGTGTAACATCTCATCCCTTGTGAGACTTTGTCTAAAGGGTGAATTAAGTTCCAAGTCAAAGTCTTGTATGCACAGCTTAATTATCATTCTCCCTAGCGAATGATGTAAACCATTTGTTTAAAGAAAACCCCACAACATGCTGAAGACATGATGTTAAAGCTCCAGCAGTTCTTTACGTGGCTGCTCTAAGACTTGAGTGGGATGTGAATACTTTGGAATTTTTCTTCCTCTCTATCTGTAGGACCACCAATCTCCCACCTAAGTGGGAGATAAGTTTTTTTCCTGTTGTTTGTATTGTGTAATAGATGATCTCCCCATCCATAACTTTCATGAAAGTTATAGTTGTTTAGTTGGTGTTGTGCTTGTTAGTATCGTTAATGTCCGTATAATCTTTATAACCTGTTTTCCGTTTAGTAGAGCAGCTAACAGCATGAGACTATGTATGTGTTTTGTGGCAATTTTTCTAGCAATGCCTACTAAATGTGTTGGGCGTTTTATCTTCAGGTTAATGTTGGAGAAGCAGTATGTCATACTTTGCAGCTGAAGAATGTATACTTCCGCAGTATCTGGAGGCTTCTTATGCTGTGATAGTCATACTGTATTAGATGTAGGGAA